ATTAACTAAGCTGCACAACACTCCTGTGAGGACATCAGGCATTATGATCCTCTCTAAGAGATAAAGGAACAGAGATCCTGGGAGGCCCTTCCTTTGACAATCAGTGGCTGAACTTGGAACTCAACGCCCAGAACTTGGAAATCAACTCCCACAGGCCCATGGGATTAAGACCTCCAGCGAAACCAAGCAGTACAAAATGTAGATGTTAAAACTGACCAACCTTCCTAAATAAATGTTCCCTGGAAACTAAAATCAATCTCAAAGAGGTTTATTTTTCACTCTGAATGCATAAAGAAAGTGGGCTAATAAATAGGGAGTTTGAACGTACAAAAGGATTTGAACCTAAGTGTTATCTATGAAATTCTGTTGACAAATGACCTGTAGGAATTTACATGTTGATTTTACAACAACTCCATCTACAGATTCACCAAGTGAGCCTAAATATACTTCTGCTTTTCATAAACAAATGGAAAATGTATTTGATTGTAGCAAAATCCTTAAAATTTAATGCTAGATTTTTTTTTTACTCTTATTAATGCAGCTAAAAGACAAAACGTTCTACTTTATAAAATCCAATCCAAAAATTCCATTACAAGAATTAAATTCAGAAATTCTATTCAAGGAAACTGAGGCACTGGTGGCAGAGTGGTTAAGAGGTCGGCTGCTAACCAAAAGGCTGGCAGTTTGAATCCACCAGCCACTCCTTGGAAACCCTATAGGACAGTTCTACTCTGTCCTACAGTGTCACTATGAGTCAGAATTGACACGATGGCAATAGATTTGATGGATTTTTGATTCAAGGAAATTATGACTAATACAGTTACATCTGCATATGAATTTATCTACAAAAATACAAAAAAATAGCTTTGTGCAAATATATATTATAGAAGAAACTGATCAGAAAAGAGCACACAACTCTACTGAGTTAAGGCTACAATATACTGTTTAATAAAATTAGAAAGTGATTTGAATTCAAAAAAACAATTAACTTTTGCTTTTAGCACAGGCAATGTTAAACATGCTATCCTCTTTAAGAACCAAATTCTAAGTCTAAATGAAAACACGGAGTTTTCAAAATATTAAATTTTTAGTAACCACTTTCAGGAGCATATTCATGTTTTACTAGATCTATTCTGGAAGTTTTAAATGAGTAAAATTGAAGTTTTCATATAAGCTGGGGCTATTTTTAGCAAAGATTCTAAAGGCTTTTTCTTCCTACTCATTAGAAAAAGAACAATGATGAATGTTAATGGTTAATGTGCCACCAAAAGAACCCTAATTTTCATAAAGCAATTTACAAGATAAAGCGTATGTTAATGTGTCCCCTGCCACACTCAAAGTACAGTGGACAGCACAGGTGATATACACAATTTGAAAATGTTTATAACAACATCAATTTTATACTAATAAAATTGGAAAAAAATATAAAGGCATTCCCTGAGTAAAAATATACATGAATGATCTGATACTGAACACAAAACTGAAAACGTAGGCAAACAATCAAAAAAATCTAACCCTTTTAATGTTAATCAAGTAAGCATTTTGAAGCTTCAGCTTTTCTCCGTGATTCTTGTATTTCCTTCCTCACACTGAAGAGCAAATTTTCACTACTAAACCCAATTAAAAACATGTATAGCCTAAAAAAGACTAAGACTCTGGAACCAACATTGTAATTACGTGCTTTGTGACATGACCCTAATTACATTCAACCTACACCTCAACAATGTTTCATTATTTCCCAGTATAATGTTGAACTATTTTAAATCACTGTTTTCTGTTGGATAAATTTTCCATACTTATTTCTTGATATCACTTTGTACAGTATTTAGAGATGATTCTTGAGTTTTTACTGTTGGTATTAGAAACTGTATGTATAAATTTATTTATAAATATTTTTGCTCTTTTAACGCTATATTGTATGCACTGCTGAGGAGCCTTGGTGGTGCAGTGGTTAAGGCACCAGGCTGCTAACCAAAAGTTCGAATCCACCAGCCGCTCCACAAAAGAAAGATGTGGCAGTCTTGTTTCCGAAAAGATTTACAACCTTGGAAACCCTATAGGGCAACTGTACTCTGTCCTACAAGGTCACTATGAGTTGGAATCAACTAGACAGCAGTAGGTTTTGGTTTGGTATGCATGTTTAATTTAAAAGGAAACCCTGGTGGCATAGTGGTTAAGAGCTATGGTTGCTAACCAAAAGGTCAGCAGTTCCAATCCACTGGGCGCTCCTTGGAAACCCCGTGGGGGCAACTCTACTCTGTCCTATAGGGTCACTATGAGTTGGAATCGACTTGATGGCAATGGGTTAGGCTATTTAATTTAAAAAATCATTTTTATAACTTGATATTTTCTATTTCTTAAGAGTCCTGTTTCTGAATAAACATAACAGCAAGATAGTTAATTTCCAACTCCATTCTATTTACTCAAACATGAATATTATATTTTGTATGCATATATTTACACAGACCACTGTATTTTCATTCAGAACATATAAATTATATTTGCATATTTCTATTATTTATGTATAACTTGAAAGAAACTTTCGCTAACAACTAGATCTTTACAACTACAAAATAAAGTACAGTGCTTTTGCCTTTACTAAACAAGACAGCGTTATTCTACTGGGTTTTTCCTTACAGAGAGCAGGGTAGTGAATTTAGAAATGTGCATTTGCTATGATAACTTGGGAATACCAATTTCTAGCATCAAAGCAGAACTTCTGTCAAATCCATCAATCAGTATGGGCTCTGATTCTTAACTTATTTTGGCATCTTAAGAAGCAGATCAACTAAGATATGAGTACATAAAAATTTTTAAATTGTTAATTAGCTAAATATTACACAGAAAACTATTCCAAAAAATTAGCTACCATTTTTATTGCAAACATCCAGTAAAACTGGTGACTTCCAAAAGCACTACCCAAACACAACCAAAATGTAAATTTTAAAGATTTGAATTTTATTAAAATCACAGAAGAATAATTCAAGGCTCTTTTTCTAAAAAAATATAAATTTACTTTCGTAAGTTCTCTAACATTTATAGATTGTAGGCTTTAAGTATCACAAATCCTAGGGTTAGGAAATTTAACTACTCATTGTACAACCTGGCTGAAGAGTCTCCTGCTGAAGATTTCCTACTTCAGCAGCTAATGTGGGGGAACTGAAAAGACAGTTGAAATGATGCAACAGAAACCTGAAGTCAGGGAATTAAGGAAGTGGAGTAATTAAGAAAAACAACTTTTTAGAAAAGTATCATCATCCCCAGCCTGCTCAAAAAATGTAACTTTCATGCTTAGGTTTGAGCCTTTACTGCTTAATTACTTATAATTCCAAATTCTTAGACTATACAAAAGGTGGCAGGAAAGCTATTATTACTGCAGAAACAATCTAAAAGAGTCAAACAGTTTGGATGAAGATGTCATGTATGAAAACAATTTTAAGGAGAAAAAAAATATATGGGTGGGGGAGCTGTAGCGATACAGATGTGAGGCACCTGTGGAAGTATACATTCTCATGATGCAATATGAAATTATTAAAACCTAGGGTATATAAATCCTTCTTTATAGTCAGAAATCATAAGAGCCACTTGAGATTAGAAGAGTCCCGACATGCCAAGAAAATGAGTATTTACAATTATAAAACTGCAGCCTATGTAGATTTATTTGAAAGGAGCTCACTGAATTGAACACCCTGTCGAAGGGCAGAGGATCTAGCTCTCTTCTTCCAAAAGTTACTTAAAATGAACTTGCATCTTCCCTGTAGGGGGGATTCTTTGTTTTGGGGGGTACAGGGGGCAGCACCTCTTCTGCATTCAGTCCTTCCCTTAGCTCCAGGGCTTAAGTGCAGACTGGAAAGGTACCAGCTTTTATAATTAACTGTACACCTCTAAGGGGGCATTTCTCAACTCCACTAGAGAATACCTGAGAAGCACAGACAGGCTTCAGAGAATCCGCAGGAAATGAGGGCAGAGCAGCCATGCAGACTTCATGAAGAGCGATTTTCTCCCCAGTATACACCCAGAGAGACTTCAGTGGTTTCGGCCCTGCAGGTCAAAGCATTGGGCTGACTGAACTATATTTTCTAACTGGATCTTTTGGAAAGGTTAGCTAGTTTCTGTTCCTACCTTCTATGCACACACAAGCTTCAAAATCATCCAGAAAGCTCAAAACTTTCTCAGAGTTAAGGTGACATGTTGAAGCAGTGGCGCCTGAGGCAAAAAAACCAGGCATCACTTCCTGGAAGCTCGTGAATTTTCAAAACCTAAAATATTTCTTGACAATGCTGAGTCTACACAGCAAGAAGAGAGAGATCAAGGATCTTATTTCACCCAGACGTTACTGGGTGTTTTTTGTTCTGTTTTGTTTTTCCTCCTCAAGTGGAACAATGTTTTTCTCCCAAAAAGAGCCTGATAAATATAAATGATACCATAGTCTTTTCTTTGGATGTTCTTCACACCATTCACATTTAGCTTTATCTCATTTTTTCCTTTTTTTGGCAACTAAACAACAGCAAGCATTGCCATTTGTACATAATTATACTGTGGGTTTTATAAAACATTGCACTTCTGTTTTAACCTCTAAGCAAGGGCTTTACGTGCTTAGTGATTTAAATCCCCGATAACGTCCTTCTTAACCATGTACTGTCACACCATCTTGTAAGTTAAAAGGCATGTAGTTGTTTTAATGTAACAGAGATGCATTCTCTGGGATGCTAAGCCTTCCTTCTCCACATATGGCCTTGCTGTCTGGCATAAACCAAAATTCAATCTGAGCTAACAGCAAAGACAAACAAGTGTCTGCTTAGCCTTGTGGAGAGTATGTAGGCAGTACACACAAATGCACACGAGCCACTTTCTGCCATGTTGCTTTTATAAGTGTAAATCAGCAGGTTGATACAGATCCTTTAATTTCCCTTCAGGAAATGTAACACCAAATCTAGAAAATGTGTGCTCCATTTTCCCTTTAAAATATAGAAATTATTTAAAAAATTAAACCTTCCTACCCGTAACAGGGACTGGGATTCATCCTTGGACTTGCTTTCTCCAGATGCAGGATACTGCTGGGTGAGGGCCCCAGACTTTTCTCCGCCAGCTGGCACCCCCTGCAGGAATCCCTTGGTCTCGACAGCCAAGCCATAAATAGGTCGTGCCAGATGGGCAGCTTCTACATTGGGGCTATCCCTTAGGGTCTTTGTCTGCTCTTGGGTGCCAGACACAGGTGTCAGAAGCCCCAGGCTTGCTTGAGTATATGATGGACTGCCCCGTAAGATCTCTGCACCTCTCCAAGTCACGCTGCGAAGGTCATCACTGGAACTCTCAGTCCAAACTTTCTCTTTAAGCCCGTCCTTATCTTCCAGCTTCTCCCTCTTCACTACACTCTCGGAAACAGGCTCTCCCATTTTAGAGTCTGGATTTATCAGACTGTAGACCTTGAGGTCAATTTTGGGCTCCTCCTTGATGGTGGATATGGCATGACCATCCTCTTCGCCGTTGGCTGTAGTGATGTCCTGTTCCTGGCAGTGAACAGTGTTGAAGTGCTCCAGTAGTGACTGAGTATCGGCAGCTGTAAAATTGCACTGACGGCATTTGTAGCAGCCGTGTGTTCTCCTGGAGAAAAAAGAAGACAGTTACTGGAAATCTAGCATTCTGAAGGTTTTGTTTTTTGTTTTTTTTTTAAACTGTTACCTGAATTTTATCTCATGTAATGTAGTAGGCAGAATCTAATCTCCACACCCGGAAATTGGAATGTAATTAACTGGTATTTTCGGTTCTATATCAAGAATGTTAAGTTCCCTTTTATTAGCAGTAACAGGTATACATACTCAAGGACCTGCACATGCACACACTCCAGTTATAAATAATGTTCGCTGCGTTAGCAAATGACCTGCTCTGTCCATTTTACCGATTGGATAATTCTCAATTCTACTTTAGTTAAGGAGATATTCATATGATTTCATGCCTGATTTAATCAGCAGACTGGTTGCCCACTTTCTGTTTACTTAAACAAAATTGAGATTTTTTTTTCATTTATTCACTAACATTTCTAATGCCAAAGTGCTTTGTATGACTTTTCGTTTATTAAAATAAGTTTTACCTAACAAATCTACTTAGTCAATAGGATGTTTCTGGTTGATCTACATAATCTAGTAAATAAGAGATATTTAAAGCCCAAGATTTTTCTAATAAATTCTATTTATCTGTAACGACAGAATTACATTCAACAAATTGAGTGTTGAGTGTCAGGAAGCATGATAGGGAGGTGCTGCATGGATATATTCGTTAGAATGGTGCGTTTGTGTAAGTGTGTAAACGAATGAGTGTGTGTGTCTTCTTTTTAAAAGGCTTAAAATAAGAAGATCTTGTTACCAAATTTCGTATCATTTTCCGCTGTTAAAGAGAGAATAAGTGCTATATTAGGACATATATTTGATTACCAAAGAAGAACAGAGGTGCTGCATCATAAAAGGCATACCTGAAAGGCACACAATGATTTGGAATAAGGCATATTTTCTTTAACTATAAAAACCTCATATGGCTGTTTATACAAATACCACCTGAAACACATGATAATACACTGAGATAATGTGTCGTGAGTTATCAACTTAAAACAAAGTAACAAAAATACATTGTATGAGTTAAAGCTATATTGAAAGCTATTGCAAGATATGTACTTATATATGTAATTGTAGACAATCATCAAAATATTACTTTTACAGGCACTGGGTACACATTGGTGAATAAGAAATACAGGCTTCCTGCCCCCGGTGCTTAGAGTTTAGTTGGCAATGACAGGTTTCACATCAGACTATAAATAAATAAGTACAAAGAGTGATATGAGCCAAGGATGAAATGAATAGGATAGTAACGGGGGCAGGAGAGCTGCTCAGGGTTGTCAGGAAGGCCTTTCTAGGGCATATAGAGAGAGCCTTGTAGGCCATAGTAAGGAGACGGGTTGTTGTCAAAGGTTAAGGGAAGCAATGGAAAAGTTACATGCACGGGAGCAGCATGGTCAAATGTATATTTTAATCACTTTTGGAATATAATAATGTCTGTTTTGAACAACTGCATTTCCTTGTAAGACATATCTGATGGTTAAATTCACAGAATTTTCCTACTTTATAGAAAGTAATTCATACATGTAACAAAATTATCAACCAGTTTTTTTGTTGAGGTCACATAATGCTATACACAATTAGCACAATTAGTTTACATTTTAGTGAATAAATACGGGTATTTAAACTTTTCACTTTTTACAGAAGACTGTTTTCAATCTTTTCTCCTACTGTTCCTTTAAATACTGAGCAATCAAGACTTTAAAAAGGAAATAAAGCAAATGATAAATAATCTGATCATGGCTTCACCATGAAAATACAACATTAAAATTAATTTTATTCTAAATGGAAGAAACCTAACTCATAAGGTGAGGATGTCTATGACCAAGAGTAAGAATCTTGCCTCCAATGTCAAGGCCAGAAAACCCAAAGACAGAATTAACGTCACAAAAGACAACAGACAAGACCTAAACTCCAGGGCGTAGCACTTCCAGGAAACTCAGCCAAGGAACCTTCTTACCAAAACCACATTCTAGCCTGACTCAATGGGAGATTAGCTCCTAAACCCAAAATTGTATCCTCCCCCAAAATTTTGCTTATAATGCCTGATCATCATATAAAAACAGACTTATCAGAATGGTTACAGTTCAAAACATACCCAGGAAATATTCTACATAATCTACTGAGCCACGAACATTAAAAAGAAACTTCAAGAAACGCATTTGCACGTTCTGATCAACCTTCAACCTGAGCCAGTTCTGATGAGCTCACTGGCCACTGTGACAGCAAATGTGTGGTTCCCCTGACACGGTGGGCTATCTGCCTGACGTCTGTGGTGGGACCCTTGACTATAAATCAAGACGATAAACTGCCATTGCTACCTCTGCAACACTGGTGGCTCTGGTGCAAAAATACCAAACAATTGCAGGGATGCTGTTTTAAGAATAAAGGCTATAAACAACCAGGTGACTGTATCAACATATAAGAAAAGAAATACAAGATTCTAGAACAGCGCCATAGAAAAATTATCTAAAAACAGCAAACTCTCAGTTCTTATTGGAGAAGCAATTTAGTCATACTGAAGAGTATAGACTCTAGAACCACTGTCTGACTTTCAATCTTGGCTCTGTATTTCACTAGATATGTGACTTTGGATAATTTACTGAACCGCTGCCTCAGTTTCCTCATTCACAAAATAAAAAAAATAGTGCATGTTCATTAATTTCTTATGAATATTAATAACACTTGTAAGAGTTAACCAATATACAGGAATTCCCCCGTTTTGCGAAAGTTCACTTTACACCACTTCGCTTTTACAAAAGACCTACACTAGTACCTGTTTTTGCTAAGTGAAAGAAATTTGAAGAGCACTTTTGCTTTTACCAAAAAAAGGTGAAAGGTGGAAATAGCGTTCGGAAGTGGTTTTGCAGCGAGCCCTTAAAGAGGCAGCACGCACTCCCAGCAGCTAGACTAGCGCCTCAAAGTTTCTTCCCCAGGAACTACACTCAGCATCTCAGCATCAAGCTACCACAGCTTTGAACTGTGTCTGTCTGTGAGATCTGTGCTTTATCTTGATTTATTTTGTGCATCCATTAGCAAGATGTGTTGTAATGTATCAGAAAAGCCTAAGAGAGCTCACAAGGGTTTTATGTGTTATTTGGTATGATTTGGTAGGTTACCTTTTGGGTCTGGGAATGCTCAAAAATTTTCCCATATAAATTAATGGTAATTGATTCCTCTCTTTATATCATTTTGGCTTACGAAAGGTTTCATAGGAACGCTCTACTTTCGGATAGCAGGCGAAACCTGTAAATCCAAAAATAAAGTCCTGTTCTGTATGAATCTGCTTCCAATATTCTTTAAGGAGTTTAAACGTACAAACTGGCATTTTGGTATCATTCTTTTCCTTTCTCCCAAGTATCCTAACAATGGCAGATGTCGTTAAAACTGAGTTTATTTCCTAAAAGATCTTTTACTTTAGGACACTGCCAGGTAGAATATATTTTAAAATTGGAAATGCATCTTAGGTTTCCTTACTATGTAGCTTCAATATTTACTTATTTTGCAATCTAGAAACGTCCTTGAGCCAACCCTAACCCTTTGCCAAACAGAGACCAATGCATCCAACCTTTATCCATTATTTGACTCATACTTTCTCCCCAGTGTACCAGTTCCTGGGCTCCTGACCAAGCAGAGTTCATCACAAACCATCATACAGTGAAACAAGGTGTCTGGATCTTCTAAGTTTTCTAGTTTGAAATCCCTGTCCCAGTGGACAACGCCCTGGCTCCTGACAGCTCTCAGCAAGAGCTGCTCTGATCTGCCCAACAGAGAAGCTGCTGATGTGAATGATCCAGGTAAAATCTCTAATGGTACTTATGTTGGAAAACTACCAGAATGCAAAGAACAATGGGGATGGGTGTAAAGCAAAAAAGGAGAGAGACATTCCAGAGATAAGTTTTCAGTAAGAATGAGATTTTACTACAAGAAGGAAAACAGCATTTTAACAGGAAGGATATTAAAATACAGTTGTAACAACAAGCTCAATTCACATGCTTTTCTTTTGAAGAGTTCAAAGCACTCACGTCCCCACTGAATATATGCCCCATTTTACAGATAGTGAAATGGAGACATAATGACTTGCCCACGTTAGTCAACATTAAGTCAAGAATACAGAGCTTCTAACTCCCAGAACAATGTTTTATTTTTCTATGCTGTTAAAATTCTTAACTTTCTACAAAAATAAATGATGTGATGGACGATATGGAAAATGAAAACTTGGAGGACAGAGGAAATCTAACTAATAGCAACGGTTTGCCAAACAGGCTGTGTGTGGCACTGCAACGTAAGGTGCTTCTTAGCAATAGAGATTCCAAACCCTACTACCTGACCTACTAAAACAGAATTCCTGGGGAATAATCTTTTTCTTTTTTTTTTTGAGAATCTGAATTTTTAACAAGGCCCTCAGGTGGCACTGATGCAGGGACCAGTATTTATGAATCACATCACTAGATATATCATGATTCTAAAGCAACTTAATGAATAAACTCAAAAGACATCCCCGACCTCCCAAGGCTTTAAGAAAACACAGGTAATGACTTTACTATCTTAGTTATTCAGAAACTTCAGATTATGGGTCTGACTCCTATTAATGAAAGAAGACTAAAGCTTGACAATTAAGCAGTAAAGTGCTAAACTGCTCAATCTTTCAGGCCACTGAACACCACTAGGTGAAGCAGAAATGTTAATTTAATGCATGGCCCTTGTAGAACTGAAGGACTCCCTTCTTCCTATAATATCAGCCCTAAATAAATGATACTAAACACATGATAGAGACAACACTACTCTACTTTCAACAGCTTGGAGTAATACAAACTTTTCAGTAATCTATACCAACATCTAAAGCAGTGTTTCTCAAACTTCAACATGCACAGGAATCATCCGGGAATCTTGTTAAATTTCAGATTCTGATTCTGACTATCTGGAGTGGGGCCCCAGGTTCTGCATTTCTTACTAGCTCCCAGGTGATGCTGATGCTGTTGGTCCCTTGACCAT